GCTCTCACTTTTAAGAGCAGATGATTGCTATTTACTGTAGCGTAGTGAACCACAGGAAACTGGCCTTTTTTAGCCCTCTTGCCCTGGAAAAGAACTGTCTGGAGGCATCTCAATATAAATTTACTTCCTTCCCAACCCCAGCTCCCCACCCCCCCTCCCCCAGCTGTGTCTTTTTTTCCTTGAGCCTCTACAGTTCAGACAACTGATGATCGTTCCCAGATATGGAGTGTTTTTTGGCGATGCTGGGTCTTTCTGTTTGTACAAGAGCTAGGGAGAGCAATGATGCAAACCTGCCAGACCTGGGCTACCAGAAATACAAGAACTTTGATTCACAATGGGAACCTCTCCGCTCTTAGTCCTTGGCAGAAGAAAATGAATGATGAAGCAATTTGCAACCTCAGAAAGTTTAGCATATCATGAACACCTTTAGCCAGTTTCTGACTGTGCATGTGGTAGCTACTTAATGAGATATGTTATTTCAACACTGTGGAGCAGAATTACCAACAGGTTTTGACACTTGCCATAACTAAGTTTTATATGAAAGAAAACATAAATCTTGCATCTGGGCATCCAGTGCATATGGAAACATGGACAATGAAGTGCTAAGATCAGTAATGCAGGCCAAGATCCCTTTTATCCTGATGAGAATGACTTTGGAATTCATTTGAAAGTGAAGGAAGTAAAAGACATGACTGAGAAAGAGCTGCTTTGCTAGAGCAGCCATTCAAAAATGTACTTTATAATTGGCTAGGGAAACACAATCACAGACTTTATATTCAAGGTGGCTTAAACTGTGCTAGGTCACTTTGCATGTCCTGGTGATTTTTGGCTATGATATTCTGCTTTACATTTGCAGCTGGCTAGTGTTATGTCAGTAGCAGCAATAAATTGTTAAATGGTGGTTGCTGTTAATAATAATTCTGTGCTCTTTCAGAGGGTTGTCAATCATCTTAGATTGTGGTTTTTTTTTTTTAATCTCTGCAACTAGATTGCTATTCTATCTCTAACACAGTAATATTTAACTGGGAGCTAACAAATGAACTGTTATTTTAAGGTTTGGTGTTTTTTTTTAATATCATTGGAGTGCTGTGTGTTTCCTATTCTGGTCAAAGCCATTTGTTCCTAAAAATTCTTATTTAAAGATGAAGCTAAAAGATGATGATTGAAGCTGAATAAAATTTCTTTCAGAGTCAGTGAATCTAGTAAAGGTTATATTTTTTGGTCTATTGAAACTGTCTGTAGATTCAAGTTGAACTCAGTTAATGTTTGGAGTCCTAAAATGGAAGTTTGCTTTAGGGAATTGGCACTTTTAATTTTGAAACATGAAAAGTGAGTTAAAAAAGGAGGCAGCTGCAAGAACAAACTCAGTATCCTTTTTAGCACTGAATGAGCTGCTTTAGTCAAAATGCTGGTAACCTTGATCTCCCTAACTTGGCCACAGGTTTGAATTCCAGCTACTGGATTTAAGAAAAACCTACTAGACTGAATTTTTCAATGGATTTGTATGAATACACACAATCCCCTAGTACGGGGTGAGAGCAGGTGCTTAGAAAGGCAGAGCAGGGAACCAAACAGCAGATCTGTGGGTGTCTCCTGAGGCTGAACATATCTGATCTGTGGTGGTCATTCTTTTCCTATCCCTTGGAAGTCCTTATCGGTTTTGCCTTCCTTCTGTTGTCTAAACCGAAAAATCTCTAAAGTCATTAACATTTTTCAAGGTGGAAAGTCAGTCCTCCCAGACAGCTATAGTTAAGAGTCAAATTTTTTCAGAGAGGCTGTATTTGCTCTCTGTGAGTCACTGACCAGCGTTTCCCTTAGCGTAGATGAGAGCCTGAAATGCTATGTTTCGTGTCAAGAGAAGGAGCACTGTTCAGAGAGTGCCTTAGTGCTGGTGAGGACACCGGATAGCACCAAGGCAGGCCTGTTCCACTTACGGAGGTCCTTGGGGAGCAGAGACTCTGAGCTGCAGCCCTCAAAACGCTGCACTGACCCACACAATTAGGTATACTCAGCGCAGGAGGGAGGCTGTCACAGCCTGCCACTATGGCCAGGCTACTCACAGTACCAGACATTGCTGATTTAAAGATAGCTTGATGTGTTTACATTGATTTCAATCACAGTAGTGACTTCCCATGGATACAGCAACCTGTGGATACACTAATTGATTACTCATCTTTTTGATTAGTATGCATTGCTTCTTGCCTTTTCTTGCTCTTCTTTAAGAAGAATGTAAATATTCAAGCACATGTAAAACCCATATGTATTTGTGAGTTAAATAAGAAGGGAATTTCTAAACCTTGTATTTGGATTTTATACTAGCTAATGCAGAAATCAAGTGAATATGACCAGTGCTCCAGGTCTGAGCTTCTAAATCTTTCTGAAAGCTTGAGGCTGAGGCTGAGGAACCTTTATAGACTAGTGAGCACTCATGAATCACATCCCCTATTTCAGTGTCCACCAGATTCAACCATCTTATTAAGGCTTTCAAGTTTGATCACTGGATATTACATCATCAGAACCAAGGATTTTCTTCATAAATTAATTCTGAGCAAATTGACAGCATCTACCCCGTCTTATTCTTTACAATAGTGCAGGACCTGTTACAACTTCATTCTGTCGCATAATGAGATGGTTTGTTGGGACAACACCAGAACTGATTTTAACAGGAGTTTATGCAGGTCTATTTCTAGAGTTGATTTTATTTTATTGGATCTCATCCTCTATATCTCTTCTGAGCTTTAACTGGGCTTTAGCCATTGAATTTTATTAGCTTCAAAATTTCATGGCTGTGCAGCTCACCGGCAAGGAACAGAAGTTATTGCAATGGCTTTAATAATAGTGGAATTTTGTCCTTAGTTTTATGGATGTTTCGTTTATAGTTTCTTTTAAAATGGCATTCTTAAAACATGAAAGGGGCTGATCATTCTGTTAAGAACTGTGCACACTGAGAATATGTGCCAATGATTTGCATTGTATTGTATTTAACAAGCTGAGAAATATTAACAATTTGAGGATTTGAAACCAAAGCTATTAGGAATCCTGTCCAGCAGTATTTTTCAGGAAAATCTTATCCATAACTAAAAGGTAATGATCTCATTACATCTCTCAAGGTTACAAGCAAATGAGTTGGGTTTTGTTTTGTTTTGGTTCGTTTTATTTTGTTTTGTTTTATTTTTTTTTTGGTTTTTTGTTTTTTTTTTTTTTTTTTAAGGAGAAAACGGATTGGAGAGAACAAGTGGCATTTGCTCATCACTAGGGTATTCTTAGACTAATAAACACTTTGAGGTCAGCAGTATGGTCCCCTGTGTGCTGACATGAGAACAGGTGGGGAATACCTGATAGGTGTGGCATGGCAGGTTCTTCAAGTTGCTAGGGAAATCCTGGGAAATAAGTGCCTTCAAATCCTACCTCTAGGAGTGGGCTCCTGATACTGAGTGGAGCAGCGCAAATGCAGACCGTTGTCAGCTACGGGATCTAGTGGTACCACCCAGCTGGACTTTTGCATCCCACGAGAGGTGACACTGGAGAGAGGACTCTGGCGAGCTGCTGGAAAGGGCAGGGGCTGGGGAGTGGGCAGCTGCTGCCCATTTGCGGGAGGGTACTGCTTTTGGATGGCACCACCACCACCTCTTCAGTACTCTGCATCACCCCAGCCAGCACTGGCAGAGAAGACTGATGCTGCATTGAGACCTGATCAAGCTCCCTGTGGAAGCGGGTCGGTTTTGCCATGGTTGGTGTTATGAAGTCCCAGTGGCTCTCTGATTTGGCAGGCCACTGGGACCCTTGAGTTGCACTTTGTTCCCCCTTTTGTGTGGGGCATGATTCTTAACTCAGGCACAGCACTATGCAGGGCTGATCTGCACTGTGCCTTTGCTCTTGTGAAACCCGGAGCACTGGGGAATACCGTGTAGAGAAAGCACTCTTGTATTTTTCAAGGCTTTTTATCTCTGGCTGAGGATACAACAGGAGAAACTTGGGATATTTGCAACAAAGCCACTCTCTCCAGTGGTCCCAGTCACAATAAAGTAATGTTGCATAGGACCTGTCTGGGTCTTACAAAACGAGGTGAGGTCCAACAGGGTTTGCTAGTCCTGTTCCTGTGCTGTGGTTAAGTACTACCCTACTTCTCTTGGCCACTGAAGTGCTCATGCTATGCTGCACCTGATCTGATAGTTCTCACTGAAGTTAAGCTGCCTCTACATTTAGCTGTAGTATGTGTATCTGCAGCTGTACCATGGCTGATTTACAACTTGGATAAAATGGCTCAAGGCAGCTGAGAGTGCACTGCTGAGATTCAGATGCACTTTTCATGTTATTTCACTTCCATAACATAATGTGAGGTGTGCAAGGAACGTAGAGAGATGACAGCTTAGAAAAGCTAGTCTGGCATTCAAGCACCAAGGAAGTTGACACCTATAGTGTGAGGGAGCTATATAGTGCAGCTTCTCAAATAGTAGTTGGACACTTGGCCTTCTGCGTCATTTAAAAGTCTGAGGTTGTGTGCATTTGACAGACAACAGGGCAGTTCTCTGCTGCTTTCTTTCAGCAGCAGCAGAGCTGGGAAAAGTGAATGCCAGAGGTCTTGCTCCTCGGATCCTGTCACCTTCTTCGTTAGACCCCTGTTTCACAGTGTATCAGCACCAGAGGCTGAGCTACTTGAAAGAATTCCTGACTCCCTGCCCTGTATGATGGTTCCCATCCTCGCCCCAAGGTTCCTGTCCCTTCAGTTTGCGGAGGGTGGCTGTTTGTGAAGATGAATAATAAGCATTGTCTGTCAGCTAGCTTTAAATCAATCCTCTTAAGAATATATAAATAAAAAATCCTTCCCTGTTGGGAATTGAAAAAAGTGCAATTATGTCTGTGTTACCGCTTATGAAAATATATGTGGAAGCTCACCCTCAATTAGACAAATGCTATGATTAAAGCAAATGCTGAGACAGGCAAACAGACAGTTCCTGCATTTTCCAATGTATTAAAAAATATTTCATTTGTTTTTTCAGCATTGCTTGAGAAACCCATCAGCAAAAGACGAGACAGTGAAGCTGTACAGAAGGCCAAGATCCTTTATGCATCCTGCATGAATGAGAGTAAGTGGCCTGATTTGAGAGGGACACATATGCATTACCTGTGTTTATAAAAGCAGGCTTTTTGGTCTATGCTGAGATCGGTGAAGCATTCTGCAGATGCACAGATTTTGCTGATTTGGTTGGATTCAACTGGATGCAGAGGGTCTTCAATACATTTCTGAAGCTGGCTATCAAGACTAAGGTACACCAAGGCACAAGTCAGTTTTACAGAAACCTCTTGTCAGGGAACTATGAAGGGATATTTACCTGTGCAAGCTGATGCCAAAATCATGCCCCAAGGGTGTGGGGGTAGTGCCTGGTAAATCAGAGGAGCCCTCTGATGAAATTCTCATACTGACACTTTTTAAGAGCCTGTTGCTCAGCACCTTCTAACTTTATCTAAATCCATTTAATCAAAACACTTCCAAAGGGCTGAGTATATACAGCCCTGGACTCTTTAGCTTCAAGTTATCTGCATGTCAATCAAGTTTGGACAGGGAGTCCTATAGCCACATGTGCGAATTGCTTTTCCTGAGCTTGTAAACTTTGCTGTAAGGTGACGTACACTAGGTTGGGACACATCACCACCTTTATGTATCTGTACAGGTGAAAGATGAGTTGAGAGGGAGAGTACTTTGTCCTTCAAAGTGCCCTTTGTCTTTCTGACTCTTTCAGACTTTATTTCATACACGGTTTTCTGCCAGCACGTCCTGAGACTGAGTGTCAGCAATTGAGATTGGCCTCTCCTGTAGCCTCGGTGCTGAGATGCTTACTCCTCTAGCTTTCGTTATGTACAATAACCTGTCCTCAGAAACTGTGAAGCTTCTATGTTAGTTCTTAAGCAAGGAATGTTTTTTTAATTGACTTAATTCCAACCCTTTGCCTTTTTTGAAAGGCACTGATTTGCCTCACTTATTCTTGATGCAGATAACTAGGTTGGATTCCCATGTTTCTGTGCTCAAAGGCAGAGCAGAGGCTTTGGGTTTCAGCTACTGTGTTTTGTGTTGCCTAGAAATTGATCAGTTCCAATAAATCTTTGTGTCTCATGTGGCTTCTGCTGGATTTGAATTGTCTGGAATGTAATTGCTGTCACATTTTGACATTTCAGATAAAATTGAAAAAGCCGACGTGAAACCCCTGTTAAGTATACTGAGGCACTCACCTTTCCGCTGGCCTGTGCTGGAATCCAACATTGGACCTGAAGGGCTGTGGTCAGAAAGGAGGTTTAGCTTAGTCCAAGCCTTGGCAACTCTTCGTGGTCAATACAGCAACTCTGTCTTCATCCGTTTATATGTGGCTGCTGATGACAAAATCTCCAATCGGTATATCCTGAAGGTACAATATAGCATATCTAATGGGTTACTTTGCATGGTATTTTGTGATCTAATTCTTTTAAAAACATGTTTACATGCCAAATCTTTATACTTGATTGTTGCTATTATCTACTGACTTACAGATGTGCATAAGTGCCAATTTATGGAATGTAGAAGCCACTAGGAACCACATTCTATTGAAAAAATATTTCTGTGCAGGATATTTTCTCCTTTCAAATTGCAAACCAAGGTAAAATATGTTCTCAGTGGACCAATGTCCAGGGTCTATTTGTAGGAAAATGAGCGAGGTGGATATCTAGTCCTGAGGATGTTCTGGGTGCTGCTTATGACTCATCAGTTGAATGAAGAATGTTTTTTGTCTGTGAAGATGAAGAATGTTGCATCAGTGGCAGATATTTTGAACTTGAGCTATTTTTCTTGAGATGGAAACACTTTATCTTGTACTTATACAGCACCTTACAACACGGATGTATCCCAAACACTTCCAAACCTGAAATACAGAATTTACCTTTTTACTGAAATGCTGTTGCTTTTAGTCCAAAGCATTACCAGTTTGTTAACAGTGCATGGCTTTACACAACAGTTTAGATTAGTGAGAAAAAGACCCAAGAAATGTTCCCACACTGTAGTCTGAGAAAACTCCAGAGAGAATTATATTACTGAGAGACGTTACCACAGCAAGACTGAGAGTCTGGGCCAAATGCATTGTTGTTTAAGAAGTAGAGTTGAGTAGCCAGAGTAGAACAGCTCTCCACTACTACAAGAAAGAACTTTATGAAGACAAAAGAGAAGGGACAAAGAAGAAAGTTATGATGCCATTCATTACAGAAAAAGTAGAATCTATGGTCCTGATGCTAGCATCTTGGCTAGCTGTAGGAATGTAGCTAAGAATACACCGTTTCTGGGGATCAAACAACAGTTAACTGCGGTGGTACTGGAGTGGATGTCAATTCTGAGTCAGTTCTTTAAAATGTCTTTTGACTGAGGCACTTAACCTGTATGAAATTGAAGGGCAACTTTTCCCCATCTCTAGGACATTTTCCTGAATAGTCAAGTCAACAGCATATCAACAGTTCACTGTATTAAAGATGTCATTCTGCTAAGTTGCTGTTCAGATCCTGTCAGGATTGCTTCAGCTGGAGATTTGTTTAAAAGAACTGAAACAGTAGAATCAGGAGAGATATTTAGGTATCTCCTGTCATAATATTTCAGTCCAAGTCACCTGTTAGCAAAGGGCTGTGTGGTTATATCCTTATTGTTGTTCTCTTGGAAATGAATTATACCTAGCAGTATCTTCACTCAGTATGTTTAGTGCCACCTAAGAATTAGGTATCTAAATAACTGAAGCACCATATGCTATGAACAACATATTATTCCATACTGTATTCTGTTGTTGTTAATTTGTTTAAGAACTTGGTCTGCAGAATGCATCAGCCAGTATTCTACTTTGTCCATGTTTTAACAGGTTCCCAGGGGTGTAGATGTACCATGGAGTATTTCAATCTGCTTGTGAAAATGGCTCTATTGCAAAATTCTTTTTGTTCATCATTGCAAAATCATGAATGGATCAGAAAAGAAGTAGAAACTCCAAATAAAACTTTGTTCAGTATTCAACATGATCTTTTGTTCTTGAGGGCTGAAGAAGTTGGTTAACATTTTTGTTTATTTCTCATATTTGTGCTTTCTTGATTTCAATGAGTTGTCAAATCTAATTCTTAAGCCAGGGAAATTTGGATGAGCATTTAATGTAGCAGTCACATAACTGAAATAGACCAAACCATCTGATGTTAACTATTACCAGGACACACATATGCAAAGCATAAGAGTATATTCTTTTTACTTCAATAAGCTGCAAAAAGAAGGTGATACTGTTTTTCAAAGAATCAGAATTGCACTGAGCATAAGAGATACTCTCCTTTTAGTGGACAACTTTTTTATCTGTTTATGGTCTATTTTAAAGGTCAAGAGCATCAACCAGTAGAGGAAAAGATGACATTTATTCATTCATTTCAGATTCTAAGTTGTATTTATTTAGGTCATTTTTATAAATGTAGAAAATGTGAAATATAAACAGTGTAGGTTTTAGATTAAAAAAGACGTGAAATTGTATGAATAAATATAATGTCTCTTCACTAGACTTATCCTTAAAAAAGACAAACCAAAACAAAAAAACGGAAAACCCCAGCATAAAAATAATAACTTAAGAACATCAAAACTGTTGTTTCTGCTGCAGTCAGTATATTATTCAGAGTTTGGAAGCCAGCTGAATTATATTTTCAGCTTCGGCTTCCATATCCTAACCTAACCTGATTGCCTTGAAGCATTTTGGAAAATCTCAGTTTCTAGTAGTACTTTTAATATATATGCTGCGCTGTGAGTTTTGCTTGGTTAGGAACTTGTAGCAGTGTATAAATACTCCCATGTAGTCATTTCACTCAAAAGACTAAATTCAGATCTCAGTGAACTTTCAGGACTGGTTTAGAAATTACCTTATTCCAATATTAGGTTGACTGTAGACCAGCAAATTTGATCCATGTTTAGAACAAAAAGATAAGTGAAAGTCAAAGATCCACCTGGACCTACTAGACATCTTTAGCTGGTGTACTGGGGAAGCATAACAGTTTCCCGTGCATGCATGCAATCATTTCTGCAGCTGGTATCCAGCTGTTTCAGTATATCTGTTCAGAAAGCCAAATACAGCACTCAGTGTTGATCTAAGGTGAAGCTCAAAAGTTTAAGCTCAATTTCAGTCAAAGAAGGCTAGCGATGCTTTCCAGATATACAGCAGCTAATGTCTGTCATAACAGTATAGCATTTTTCTGTTGTTATGAAATCCTGTGGAACTCAGGGTCATGGGGTGTATTATGTATTAGATATTTACACACATCTACCATAATTACCAGAAAAACACAAACTCTTCCAAGGTTCCTTATAGGGCTACCTTTGAATTCTGATGAATTTACCTATTAAATGCTGATTTTTATTATTTTTAACAGCTTGACCAAGCAAGCCTCTCTCTGGCATCTCAAGAGGATTACCTAGAAAACACCACAGAAGCCAAATCTGTGAGTATTATTAACTGGAAATCAGTGACCATTTTTCCCCTCAGTTTTTTTCATCATTGCTCTTGAGGTTGTGGGTTTTTTGGATTTGGATTTTTCGGGATATCTTCTATCAGAAAACACCACCACTACAAGCACCACTACCACAAACACTCTTGCAAAGTTTCTCAGATTAAGATTTTTGTAAGATTTGGGGTCCCTCCTGCTTTTCTTCCCTCTTGGAGGGGCCTCTGGTTCATCTTGTCCAACCCCTGTGCTCTTGCAGTGTTGAGCTCTGGAGTATCCTACTAGTGACTGTCCTCCCACTGAACTTTGTGCTGCTGATCATAACCCTATGGACCTGGTCAACAGCTCATTTTCAATCCATCTCACTTCTCCAACTTGTACTTTTTCAACTTGGTGAACAACCACAACTGCTCTCCACTCATCCACCAAGATATTAGTGTAATAGTAGAAGGTTATCAGGCTGGTTAAGTATGATTTCCTGTTCATAAATCCATGCTCACTACTCCTGATCACCTGTTCCTTCCTGTGTTTGGAAATAGTTTCTGGGAGGATTTTCTCCATCACCTTTCCAGGGATTGATATGAGGCTGACCAGCTTGTCGTTCCCTGGATTTTTCTTCTTGCATTCCTTGAAGATAGGGGTGATACTTGGTCTCTTCCAGCTTTTAGGAACCTCTCCCAGTAGCTATGACCTTCCAAATATTACCCAGAGTGGACCTGCAGCAGTATCAGTCAGCTCCATCAGCACTCATGAGTGCAACATATCAGAACCCCTGGCTTTACTTATGTCCAGTTTACTCCCTAATCTGGTTCTCTTCCACTGTGGATAGGCCCTTCTTGCTCCAGACTTCCCCTCTGATCTCAGGGGCCTGAGATTCCTGTGGGTCAGTCTTACCAATAAAGACTGGAGCAAAGTTGGCATTGACTGTCTTGGCCTTTTCAGTATCATTTGTCATCCTGTTCCATTTAGCAGCAGATCCATGTTCTCCCTAGTCTTCCTTTTGCTGTTATGTATTTGTAGAGTCTTTTCTTTTGTTCTTCACATCCCGTGTCAGATTCAATTTCAGGTTGGCCTTGGCTTTCCTAACCATATCCCTGAAAGATTTGTTAGCAACTCTTTACTCTTGGATCACCTGTCTGTGCTTCTACCTCTTATACACTTCCTTCTTATGTCTGAATTTAGTTAGGAGCTCCTTGTATACCCATGCAGGCCTCCTACCACCTTTGCTGAATTTCTAACTTGTCAGAATGGACCTTTCTTGAGCTTGGAAGAGCGCAGGTGGAGCTTCATGCATTTGCACTAATCTCTCACATAAAGGACAACAAGCCCTCCTCGCCTTCCCAGCCTGTCCTTCCTAAAAATCCCATGTCAATCCATTGCAGCACTCCAGTTGTGCAAGTTATCCCACCATGTTTCTGTGGTCCCAGTGAGGTCATAGCCTTGTAACTCTACACAGACTTCTAACTCCTCCTGTTTGTTCCCCAAGCTGTGCGCATTAGTGTAAAGGTATTTCCAGGGGATATCCAGTCATGCTGATTCTTCAGCATGGCCTTAAGAGCTTCCCTTATAAGGCTGTCCTGCAAGCACTTCCTTCTTTACATACCTACCCTCAAAGGTGTTCCATTTCAGCTTTGCTGATTGTTATGTACCTTCTTTTCCCACCACCCCGGGTCCTTGGCTTGCCTCCCCTATCCACACCTTCCTTAGTTGTTTCTTGAGGAATCACTTCCACCCTCATTTCTAGTTTAAAGTTCTCCTTACCACATTTGCCAGACTGTTGGCAAAAATACTGTTGCCTTGTTTAGTTAAATGGATCTGTCTCTTCCAAGCAGTTGTTGGAAAATCTCTGCTGTTGATTCTAGCTGTGCAACCAGATATTAACCTGCAAGATCCATCATGTCCTCCTCAGGCCGTTGTCCCTCACCAGCAGGATCATTAACACCACCTGGGTTCCATACCCTTGACCTTTGTCCCTATAGGCCTGTAGTCATGCTTGATACTCGATACAAGTCACTCCTGGTAATAACATTGGTACCTGTAAGGAAAAGCAGCAGGGATTTGTAGCCAGAGGGCTGGGTAAGCCTTGGTAGCCTCTTCACAACATCCTGAATGTGAGACCCCAGGCAAACACCGAACCTCCCAAGATGACAAATCAGCTTGACAGATGAGGGCCTCCATCCCCTGCAGTAGTGAGTCTCTTGCCACTGTCACTTGCTTCTTCCTTCTAGAGGTCCTGAGGGGCTCAGGCTCAGCCACAGTGCTCCAACTGATAGTGCTCCTGCGTCCTCATCAGCTACAAGAGCAGTGGAGTTCCAGACCTCATTGTGATGGGAGTTTCCACTTTCCAGCTTCATAGGCACGGGCTCCTCCTGTTCTTCTGCTGCAGCTGAAGGTCCAGGCTTTTGAAGCTGCAGGGTCTCAGGGGAGGTGTCTGGTTGATCTTCTTCATCTACTCTGAGGCTGTGTGATCTGCTGACCTCTCACAGCTCTTTCACTTGGCAGAGCAGCTCCTCAGCAACTGCACACCTCCTGTATGCTAGAAGACCATGTGCTCCAGACTTAGTGAGAGGCCTTAGATACTCCCTGCAGTCTGTGACTTTCAGATCTGCATTAGTCCTATGAAACACCATTTGGGTCCAAGGGTCCAATAATAAAGAGCCAGTTACATCAGCGGTGCCTGGGGATCATGTCCTGCGGCACGTGACCACCATATCTATGGATCGGTATGACAGACAAAGTTTGCTGGCCCTTCCTTTGTGAGCTGCTGCATCTGTTGACAGCCTCTGGGAGCTGTGCTCTGGGCCTGACTCTTATGTAGGCCCCTGTCTAGCATGGTCTCAAAGGGCGCTCGACCCTCCCTAATGAGGCGTCAGCTGGAAGAAATGCTTGGTCTCTCTTCAATCAAGAACAGCTGCCAGAGTTAGCAGCTTCTGGAGCTGCTCTCACCTTAGCTTTTACCTGACCTGGTGGCAGAAGGAGCCCTCATGTTCCTCGAGGGGGACCCAGGAGTTCCTAGATAATGAACAAAGTGCCCAGAAGCTCGAGAACATCTCAATGAAGTTGAGCCCAGAAGCTGTCATGTCTTCAGGTTGCCTCGGTGAGCTGCCCTTTGGACCTGCCTCTTGGGCTCAATTAGGCCAGAAGGCTGAGTGCATTTCAAGAGCCTCTGCAGGTTATTATCATCAAGTTAACCTCAATTCAATAAATGAAAGGAACAAGAGTTCCTCAACAGATTTCAAGTATTCATTTCCTCTTTCCCCCCAGCTTTATTATTTCTCTGCTACAGCTTAGTTTCTTGCTGCTTTTCTGTGGACAGCAGTTGTGAATAAATGATGTTTATCAAAGGCTTTAATGTATCAATATTTAATAATGGCAGCACCTTTTTCCTCGTCACTTGATGAAGGCCTGTGGGCAGTATTTGGCACATGTGGCCCAAAGGTCAAAGAAAACAACCCCTTGGGTTGTCATGAGGGAAAAGTCATTGCTACTGATTCAGTTTTGATAGTTTTGCTTCTGTTTTGAGTTCTCTGAGAGGTTAGTATGTTTTTAGTCATATCTATCAGACTAGAGGATGCCAGGATACAAAGAATTGTATCTACTAAAAGATTAAAGGTGGAAATGCATTGAGATATATTTTTGCTTTTGTTGGACTGTGGGCTGGTAGGAGTTGATGAGAAGCAATGTGATCACTTCAAAAATCTCTGAAAGATTATGCTAGGGGGGAGGTAACACAAAAATCACTACAGTATCATTACATGCAGTGCATTTTGCTAACTTTTGTGTATATGCACTGAGACTAAAATGTGGTTTATTAGAATAGCCTGGGGAGAGCAGAGCAGAGCACTGTAGCAGGTACGTGTCTTGCAGTGCTGTGGCAGGAATAGAGGAGAAAGCTCAGTGGAGCATCCCTTTATCCCTATCTTCTGAGCCACTAAGCTTGCACTTGTATACAAGTACTTCTTCAATCCTACACTGATTAGTGTATGAGTTGGCATAAAATATTGGTGTACACTCATACACATTGTCTAATGCCATTGTAAGAGCTCTAAGGGTTGTCAATCTAATACAGAAGTGTCATTTTCATTTCCTGAGATTTATACTTTGTGAACCACAACAGGTATCTCTCTCTGTCACGCACAGTATATTTACAGTGTTATTTCTCCTTTTTTCCCTGATGACAGCAGTCATTCAAGGTAAGGAATGCACAACTTTGGTTGTTAGGGAATGAAAATATAAAATATTATACTCCTTGCTGTAGCTGGGCATTTCTGGTCTACTGTTACAGCTGTGCTCAAGAGAAAATCCAGTGGTCATTTCACTCTTTTTGTTTCTTTACAGTACCGAGATGCCTTTTTGCAGTTCATGGTTGATACAGCGGTGCTTCTGGGTGCAAATGCTTCACGAGCTGAATCTGACATGAAGTCGGTTCTAAGATTGGAAGTCAAAATAGCTGAGGTTTGTAATCTCATTCAGGATTGAAGCTAACTTTTACAAAAAAAAAAAAAAAAAGGGTAATCCTTTTTCAAAATGGAAAGCCATTATATCAACAGCCTTAGCAGTAGCATTTTTTTTTTGAAGTAGAAGGAAAGGAGCAGATCCTGATGAAGAAAAGATGAACAATATTTCTCCATTGTTTAATTGTTAAACTGATTATTTTATTCTCAGGGGGAATAAACTTTATCCAAATACTCCTGGTCCTTTAAACTGTTAATATGTCAACCAGGCTTGCTAGAGATAAGCCTATGGGCAGGATGCCAATATTTCAGGGACAGTGTGCTAGTGAGGTCCTTTGGTCTGCCATCAATGGAAGCAGGAGATGGAAATCGATGCAGCAGCCAAGATGCAGGGGTTATTGATGTGTTAGAAACCATGGAAGCACATGAGAACGGTCATGTACGAATTAGGTCTTCTTCCCACAAAATGGTGCTGGTATCGATAGCCCTACTGAAGTGCATCTACACCAGTGCACTAGAAGTCAGTGTGCAGCTGGAAAACTATGATATAGTTGCAATCGCAGGAACATGATGCAATGACTCACACAACTGGAGTGCTGCAATGGATGACTATAAACTCCTCAGAAAGGATAGGCAAGGAAGGAAATGTGGTGGGGTAACCCTGTAAGTTAGTGAGTGTTGACTGTCTAGAGCTTGATGATGGTGACAGTAGGGTTGAGTGTTTATGGGTGAGAATCAGGGAAGGCCAACAAGGCAGATATCATGGTGAGAGTCTGTTATAGACCACCCAACAAGGCAAATGAAACTTTTTATAAGCATCTGGGAGAAGTCTCAAAGCTACTAGCACTTGTTCTCTTGGGGGACTTCAATTTACCAGATGTCTGCTGGAAATACAATACAGTGGAGAGGAAACAGTCTAGGAGGTTCCTGGAGACCTGGAAGACAATTTCCTGACACAATTGGTGAGGGAGCCAACTAGAGAAGGCACCCCTCTGGACCTGTTTGTGAACAGAGAAGGGCTTGCAGGTGATGGTTGGAGTCATGAAATTATAAAGTTTTCAATTCTCAGAGAAGCAAGGACAGGGATTAGCAGAACTGCTACATCGGAATTCTGTAGGGCAGACTGGCTTGTTTAGGGGCCTGGTTGACAGAGCCTCTTGAGAGGCAGTCCTGAAGGTCAAAGGAGTTGAGGAAGGCTGGACATTCTTCAAGAAGGAAATCTTAAATATGCAGGAACAGGCCATCCCCACGTGCTGAAAGATGAGCTGGTGGGAAAGAAGACTGGCCTGGCTGAACAGAGAGCTTTGGCTGGAACTTAGGAGAAAAAGGAGAGCTTATTACACTTGGAAGAAGGGGCAGACCACTCAGGAGGACTACAAGGATGTTGTGAGGTTATGCAGGGAGAAAATTAGAAGTGCCATGTAGAAGGGACCTCGTATGGAGGGCGAGACCGGAGTAAAGACCTCACACCGATGCGATGAAAGTCGTTCTCATTTATTTACCCAAATAGCCCCAAGATATACAGAGCCAGATGGTCGTGCACTCTATGCTTTACAATCTATTGGCTAAAGGCACTTATCATGCCCCCGGAAGTGCTGTGATAGGTCTGCATCGTTAGTACACGTGTACAAACTAAATCTACTTTGTGGTTAGTGCATCCGGGCATTCAAACAGGAAGGAAGCACTAGCTTGACTTCCTCATTCTTGCCCTTCCAGGTGACCTCAAGGGCAGGATTACCACGTGGCAGTTTTTTGCTCAGAGACCCAGCCTGGATTGTCCAAACCCTATAGGATCAGTGCATGACCCTGATCCCCCCAAAATTCTACCACAGTGCCAAAGCCCAAGAGACAATACAAAATGTTTCTATAAATACATTAGCAAAAAAAGGAGGACTAAGGAGATTCTTCATCCTTTATTGGATGCGGGGAGAAACAGTAATAAAGGGTGAGGAAAAGGCTGAGATACTTAATGCCTTCTTTGTCTCGGTCTTTAATAGTAAGACCAGTTGTTCTCCACAACAACAGGGGATGAGAAACTTCATCAGTTTTAATTTAGGGGACCAACTGAATTTAGTAAAGATAAGCAGATTTAAATCTGGCACTTGGTTCTGACCGATTTACTTGGTGACGTTTTTATCACCTTGGGGAGTTTAATTTATGCATTAGGACTGTTTCAGGCTGAAGGAGCATTTCTGCTTCCCCGTATCCCTGTTTCAGTAAGGCTAGTGCAGGAATCCCTCTCCTGGGAGCTGCAAGTCCACTATCATTTCCACCTCTAAATCTAGAGATAAGAGTTAGTCTCAATGTTGGGAAATGAGCAAAATTTAGGGCTACAAACTTGACCCTGATTTGTGGAACTGAAAAGCTGAGCTGAGTATTTCTTCATATCACCAAGGAAAGAATCTATCTCCTGTGAAATGCTGGGCCTCCTGTTAATAGAGAAGCCTGTTGCACAGGACAGGTGATGCAGCAGATGACTTTTCCTTGGATTCTGTTGCAGTCTACAGAAGGAAAGGGAGTGATTCTTCTTAACGGTGTGTGTGTGCAGAATTGAGGGCCATCCACAATAGTAGTAAATCAGAGTTTCTATCTTTCTGCTGAAAGAGATGAAATTTTGTCAAACCTCCAAATCAAGCCAAATATTCAACTTCAATTACCTCGTCTGGATGGACTAATGAGCACATATGTCATTGTAACCTAATAGGCTTGAAAAACAGAACATGTTTTTTCTCTTTATTGGTGATGTGATAGGAAGATGAATTGCTACCACTGGTAGCTCTAATGCTTTACTTAATGAATGTCTTAAAGAGCTTTTATCCACAGTGCATATAGGTGAATTTACCATATAAGATGACATGGATCATGTAGCAGCCCTCAGGATCAGTAATGCATACCATTATGCAACAAGCCATACTTGCTCATGGTTACCTAATTTCCCTTTAGTGTGAACAATCCTCCTAAAATATATCCAGATATTAGGCATGAGTCCAGGGACATGGACAGTTGCATAATCCATAAAAAACACAATGATTTATATAAACATCTTACAGTGATTTCAAAGGAGATAGCCCTGTTTGGTATTTAGGCTTTTAGTGTGTCCTGTGTTTCTCTGCATTTATTTTAAGTGAATGTATATAATGCAGAAATTGTGTGCTCAGAAAGAGACAGCAAGAATAAAGGGAGGATACTTTGGATAAAGGAAGGAGTGGCATCCTTCGAGAGCTTATTGTGTACAAGGAAGATTTCAATTAGTTTTGAATTACTGGAGGAAGGGGGAATGTTTTGAGAGGAAGGGAGCAAATGGGTTCAAGAAGAGTTTAAAAATTTGTCAGATAAATTAAATTTGCAGAAAGGGAGAAAGTAATTTTTTTGCTGTGTGGCTTGAGCAACAGTAAAACCGCAGACACTTACTGGAGAATTTTGGTTGGAGAACTGCCAGCTGTCTGGTTTGTCTGGCATCAACCTCTGTCCTCTTTAAACTGCACAGTGCACAGCCTGTTGTGTAGGATTTACCTTAGAGTGGGGCTGGAATTGCCATTGAGAATTATTGTTTCTCTTGAACACTGATCAAATTTTGAGCTATGTTTTTTACTTAGTTTGCTTTTCTATTATGAACCATACTGCCATCTTGGAACCTGAGTGTCTCTTGTCAGTTATAAAAGGACTTGCATTATATTTAGTATTTCTTTTGCCATGTCCTTGGACTTTGACACTACAGATGATCCTGAGGTCTGGCTCCTCTGGTCACTCAGATGAGAGGCCTGGTTGAAGAATGCTTTAATTCACATCTGGCCTATATGCCTGTTTCCTATTATGGAAATCGGGATAGTGGGGTAAAATGAGGAGAAACTTGTTTGTATCTGGATCTTCCCTCACATGGAGTCAGACCATAGCAAGAACATGTTCAAATCCAAGAGTAGAGATATGCTTCCATCATACCTATCTCAGATTTGACCTTTTAAACCATATAGTTTCGAGTTGGCTACTACCTGACATGGAGAGATGAATAAGTATTAATGGTCTAGGTCTGCTTTTATCTCTTAAGAATCAACATGCATTTCCTTAGTATAATCAGAGCTAAAGTTGGTCTAATGTGTTCAAAGAAGACATGTAGCTCATTAAATTCCCCAGTAACGAGTTAAATTGACAATGAACTGTGCTCCATATCTCCTAGTTAAATGCCATCCTCAGGAAGGGAAGTTAATACCATGAATGCTTGGAAAACAGGTGGTGAGATATTTCTGCACTGGAATTATGGTGGACAGCAATGATGTAAGAGCAGGTCCCTGTGTGATAATCCTTGTTTTGATATGTTTTTTTTGTTTGTTTGTTTTGTTTCGTTTGTTGTTGTTGTTTTTGTTGTGTTTTTTTTTTTTTTTTTTTTCCAGATCATGATTCCATATGAAAATCGAACAAGTGAGGTGATGTACAATAAAATGAACATATCGGAGCTTAGTGCCATGATTCCACAGGTTGGTTGGGGATAATTGCAAAATCATTCTTTTAACATCTGATCTATATAATTAAAACTGTCTTTAGTGCGCAAAGCAGGATGTTAAAGGAATAACATTAGGAATGTGTGTAATCAATTACAGTATATGTTCTTTTAAATACAGTTATGACTTTACTGAGGTGTGAAAGCACATCTAGTGACAAAATGCAATAGTTTCTAAATTTTTATAAGTAAAGCTTTGAAACCATTAGCCTCAAAGGTGCAACTTAGTTAATAAATCATCTGTCTTCATAATCTGCTTTAACCAGCCTTCTCTTTGTCATTGCAGTTTGACTGGCTGGGATACATCAAGAAGGTGATTGACACCAGACTCTACCCTGAGCTCAAAGATATAGGTCCTTCAGAAAATGTGATTGTCCGTGTTCCCCAGTACTTCAAAGATTTATTCAGGATACTAGAAAATGAAAGAAAAAAGTAAGAATCCTATGATGGTTTCACCCACACTTATGAGGGGACATCAAATGCTGGGCGTTTCCTGGGTTGTTCAAGCACTTCAGATATTCTTGGAATCAGGTCTCTAGTTTTTGTCTGAATGGGGATATAGATATTAACTTGTGTTTAACAGGTGAATTTGCAGTTTCAACACCTTTATTTTTTTATGGAAAACACAGGTTGCAGTAAAACTGCTCTTTCCAGATGCACTCAGCATCTCTTATTTTTATAGGATCTTGTGTCCTGTGAAATCATTTACACCTGTAGAACATAGCTGTAAAGTACATGTAGCTCAGATTAAATGTAATAGATGTGTTTTGCACAGGGAAGCAAGACAGCTTTGGGCAGTGTGATGAAAAAGTATATGTGAAAATGACATCCGATTTCAAAACAACTTTATTGATGACATCTAAGTGATTTCTGTGATAATTTGCTCTCTGCTGAGGTGTGTTGCTGAACTTCTAAAAAAATATTGTTAGGTTATTGTCTCCAAAAATAATTCTTTGTCAATTGTACAGTATGGCCACAATGAAATTTACATTTCAGAAAAAAAGACTAATTCAGAAGCATTATTCTTACATCATTGCTCTATGTCTCCAGTGACAGAATACTTACATTAATTCACAGTACCTGTAAAAATACCACACAAATCAAACAGTAAGAAAAATAAAACCAGTTCATCTACCTACAGATCATCAAACATCCTTTCTTTATAAAATTCAGACAAATGTCATTAGTGTGCCACCAATTTTAACCTACTGAAGAAAGTCTTCTAAATGGTTTGGGCTGAACATGTTTTGTATCTCAAAGTTAGCTATGTTAGTAGGGATAAAGTTGTGGTTTAGAGGATGCACATGTAGCAAGACAACAGACAATTAGTTATTCCCTGTGTACAAGTGCACGTACATGCAAATATATTCTGTAAATTCATAGTAAATACCTGGAGACATTTTCCATTAGGGTCTTATTCAGGGAAAATCTGAGTATTCAAGAGGAGTTAAACCAGCCTGTGTGTCATGGCAGAGGGAGGCTGGAGTAACGACCAGAAAGAATGGTAACATCAGTCTTCAGTAAAGTTCGAGACCAGCTTCCCGATCCTCACAGGTCAGAGGGTGGACAAAAGCAGTGAGCTGTGTCTGTTTTCCAGTATATTCATGCCACGTATGTTGTAGCTTATAACGGTTTAGACATTTTCTGTTCAGTTTTACCCTAAGAAATTTACAAACAGTCACTGCATGATAACAAAAATCATGTTTATCTGTTAGGTGATAATGTTTATTACTTAAAATGCCATAGTCTGCTCCAGAATTAACCTTGTTATCCAGACTGAGAAAATTAGGGGATCAACTTAATGAGAACCCCTAACAATAAGGTCTAACATTTCCCTGTAGGGTGAGCTCTGAAAGTTTAACAAGGATATTTTCTTTTAGGTAATATCATTTGTCATTCTTCATATGATATTTTAAAGATTAAATTAATCCAAACAACATGAATTTGTTTTTTTTACAGTAAATATATAGACCAATCAAATTCCTAGTAAAGCATTCTAAAATTTTATATTTTCTTCAGTGATTAGAACGTGAATTAACTTCTCATCATTTCAGGAGATGCAGCATCATTAGGAGAAGCAGCTGCTTTTACCAAGTTCATATTCTTTGCAGTTACAAAACTTCTATCCCTAAATGATACTTTTATTCCAATGCTTTATGTGTCCCCTTCCCAGATGACAATCCTACTGGCATGGGTACTATACAAAACAGCACAAAAAGACGGTTCATGCCCCAGTAGTCTAGCAAAATACTCTGTGAAGTTTGTTTCAGGTGGAGGGAAGAATGGAGCAAAAATTAAATGTGGCTACAGAAATAGTTCTTGGTATTGTATGTGACAAGTCATACAGTCTCACAGTCATCATATTAAAAATCACTCCCTTGGAGAACCTGCTGAACAGTCTTGAATTGTGAAGTCATTCACATGGAAATGTTCTAGAAAATAGCACACTGGCAGAGTGTAGAGTGAATTTAGTAGAATAAGGTTGTTATTTACTTGACAGACCTGCTGCATATAATCTAGTTACTGTGTGGAGTGTGAAATATGTGCAATGATGTGGTTCACAGGTCTGTCTGAACCATTCCCAAGCCAGGGCAGTGCTGTGAGTCCAGCCCAGGAGCATGCCTCTCTGTATCAGGCTGTCCAAGGAGCTGAGTAACTAGCCTGCAGGAGTTCTCACCAACCCTGGGCTAGCTAGCCTGAGTCATGCCAGGCGTTCAGTGCTGAAGTAAATCACACCTACTTCATAAGAAGTCTTCAGGGATTCCTTCAGTTTTTTAGTGTACTGACTAATTTTTTATGGAGTTTATATCTATTACAGGAAGAGGAGGTTTATGCTGAAAGCATAGATGTAGCTGTGGTATAAATGAGATAATGGCAGAGCTCCAATACAGCTATGCCACGTGAGATGGCAGATGAAATTGTGCTGGCACCAGTTAGGACCACCTTATATCCCTTCCCTGATACCCGTGTGCTAGCGCTTTACATGTAAGCCATAAAAAGGGTACAGTAAACTGTGTCCTTGTTGGACATGTTTGCAGCTGTTGAAGGAAGCAGTTTTACTGTTCTCATAGATGTCAGAATGAATAACTAGTTTCCTTTGTCATACCTTAGCCCATCTTTGCAGCATGGGACAATTAATAGAGAAGTACTTTGTAATTCCTGCAGCACAAGAGGAGTTTTCTTTAGAGAGGGATGGGGGCACTAGATCTCCTTTCTGGTCTTAGCCTGCCTCTGAAAAATTAGAGAGAGAAGCTAGAATAATTTGACTTGAACTAGTGCCTCCAGCAATAGAGACAGAAGTTTCTCAGTACTTATAATTTGGTCCGTGACTCAATTCTTAACACAATTTTCAAACAGATCTCAAACTTTGTGAAGGGGATCTTTTTCTTAAAATGTCAATTAATTTTTCCATCTCTCTCATATTAATCTATCCTCTTTAATTGCCACCATGTCTGTTGATTAAAATATTACAAACTCACAGAATTTTACATGAACAAGCTACTTTATTCCCAGAAAGGGTAGAGAGTTCCTCAGTAGACATTCAGAAGCACTGGTATAATTTTAACTGTCCCAGCAAACAAGCTCTCTACCACTTCCTTTGGGAGTGTGTATCACAATAACAGTCACATCGGTTAAGAGCAAGCCTACTCTTCTTTCTGTAACAGTCATTTTGAAGTTAAAATAGGGGACTATGTACTGAACTCTTGTGAAAGATTGCAACAACAAATGCTCTGATGTCATCAAAAGAGTAAAGTGGATCACTCTGTTTTATTTGTGTGTTGGATTTTTGACATGTGAAGAGGTTAACTTCTCTAATCCTCAGTGAATTTATTTGTGAAATTGGGATGAAAATCACCCCAGAATATGCACTGGAGGCATTTCATAATCAAAAAGTGTCGGTTTTTAAACAAAATGGAGATGACCAATTGATTTTAAGTTTGTATAGTTAGCCAGAAAAGTAAAATAATAATTCCCAAAATAGGCAAACATATTCAGGTAAAATATGATTCTGTTTTGTTTTGAAAACAAAAAAAAGAACACTTCCCATCAAACAAACAACAACAACAAATCCCCTCAACCTTTGCCCAAAAATCCCGCCTTCCAGCAAATAAACGTATCTGTGGGCTTTGGAGCAAAACCTTCCTGTTGCTTTATGCATCGTATGTATTAGTGGATTCTAGTGTGATTACAATTAAGAATTATTACAGTCTCATCAGACAGCTTGGTTGTAGGACATGTCAGCCTTCTTTTCCTTCCCAAATTAAAACAAACCTCAATTAATCGTAGGATATTTCCTGAAATAGGAACAGCTGCCTTCATTACTTATGCCTGATACAAAAGTTTTTGAATTCCTGTTGATATTAGTGTCTTTGAGTAAGTCACCTTTTTGAGACTCATCCATTACAAATGTCAGTCTTTCATTCACTACCAATTTGACAGAGGTTCCCCAACTCAAACATAAGGACAAACACCGTTGGATAAGAACAAGGACACATAAGGGAGAACTGATTTTTTTGGTAGCAGCTAAGTACCAAATTGGTACACATAACTGGTTTATGATAGTGGTCTATTTACTTGGTTTTTTTTAGCTAACACTTTTGATTGAAATTAAATCTTTGAACCTTTAGTCTGTAAGACTTGCATAAATACTGTTTCAGATCCACAGAATAGTTACTACAGTAGCATGGATGATATTTAGCTCAGCTGAAATACCTGAGGCAGATATAGTTGTGAGGCTTGTGGAGTTCAAGTCATTTACAAAACCAATGAGATCTGAGCACTTTTAGGGTGCTTCTGTTGCCATTAAGTGAGTAAATTCCACATTGTCAGAAATGTATTAAGGGGAGAAATCTATGCTTTCTGGTATTTCATAGGTTGAAATCAATTTTTAATGACCCTAAGCATTATCTCAGAATGGTTTGATCATCTAAGCAAAGCTAACTGTTTTGGCTTTTGTAACATGTACTCTGTTATAAATGTACATTATTCATGCTAAAAAGCTTTTTCAGATATGTTTTACAATTACTGTGGGGATTTATGTGTGCAATATACCTGTATACTAAAAGAGAGAATATGCCCAATGTGAGAGATGAGGAGGAGAATAAAAGGCAGGACTTATGATTCACAGCAATTCTATACTCCCCTGTAGAAGTTGCCACTGGCCACAAAGACTAGTGAGTATCAAGCCTTTGACATGACAGCTGGCTTGAGACTGCATCCTCAAGTTTTCCTGTGTGAAATGAGTTGACTGTATTTTTGACCTATAGGCATGTGCAGACTTAACTGATGGGCTTTGTCCAGGCTGTCAGGGATGCACAGCTGCCGTGGAGGTTCACGTGGGCATGCACGTTTGTGGCTAGCTTTGGTTCAGCTGGAGCAGCTTGCAGGAACAGCCAAATCCAGCGGCACTGCAAAGCGCCTGCCTTCCTTGGCCAGTGACCGCTGTGCATGACCAGACTGGTCCCCAGTGCACGTCTCAGCCAGCCCATGGAGAGTGCAGAGCCACCCATCTGCTCTTGGTGTAGTGTCCTACCTGGATGTGCGCACACTGCTGGAGTTACTGGGTTATTGTGTGATCCGTCACTAATACACAATATGTGGCTACAGCTTGCCATAAATCTCTCCATTCTCACCTCCTTATCACTTCCACAGCTGAGTGACCAAGAGTGCAATCTTCCAGCAACAACGTATCTTGAGCTGGAGGCTTTGTGTGGGTGGACTGGAGCTTGATTAGAAGCAAAACTCAAGTTATGGCTCAGGCAAATGCTGCTGTGAAGACAAATACGCCCACAAAGTGTGTTTATAACCTGTTATGATTCAGAGGAGGGGACAGTATGGGATGTATCGGTGAATGGAGCTAATGGAGTGACACTAGCGACAGCTATGCTGCTTCACTCCTGTGGCAACGGGAGATTGCAGAAATGGATTTTTAGAAATGGAGGAGTTGACCAGGTGGTCCATAACAGCATCTTCAGATGCAAATGGGCAACTTCCCTCCCTATGGAGAAAACGATGACCTGCCCAAAATATCACATATACCCCAGCATAGAACAAACAACATTTGAATATTCATAGCTTTAGAGCAATGACTATCCTTGAAAAACATATCATGTAGAAGAGGAGAGGAGAGTGATACATTTAGGCTATTATCGGACTTGTTTTGAGACTGTTTGAAGTTGAATTGCATATTTCACAATGCACCTTTACCCCGTACAGCCACTGCAGAGAGTAGAGAGAGCTCAATCTAAACTAGATAAATACTCCTGTCGAGTGCTTGAAGTTTTAGAAAAGCGGATTGGATGTCAAGTCTCCTGAGAATTTTAAACAAATTCTTCCTGGATCTCTCAGCCTCAATTCTTATGAGATTCTTGTTACTGAGACCTCTTTTTTGGTATTTCAATTATCTATCTGCAAAATAAGAGTGGTAATACTTTAACAACTCTGTGAGTAGTAAGAACTTTTAAAAGCATATAGATAACTTCTAATGAAGGATACAAATATGAGATAATGATAGCATATATGGGATGGACTGTTATCTATTCTGCTTCATAGTTATGATTTATGTGACCTACTAATGAAGAGAGATAACATTCACTTTGATTTGCAGAAGAAAAATCAGTTATTTTCTTATCTCTGGCTATAACTTTCATGCAGCTATTATTATGATACTGTTCTTGCCACTTCTATGGAAAATGAAATTGTCTTTGAAAAAAGCATTACCTAAAAATGACATACTAGGAGACTGGCTAGTTATAAATATCCCCTAGAAGATAGTTATCATGGTGCAATTACATATTAACTGGCTGCAATCATACAGATTCTTCTGTGTAATAGGGATTTATCAATTTGGTCATCGCTCATTAATTTTCAAGGTGAAATTTCCACCATTCAGGTGAAATGCTTGTAGAGATATTTCTGTGATTGTTTTGTGGTATGACATATACATTTAGACGTCTGATAAAAATATGTCTGATTTAACAGGACTCTTGCCAACTATCTGGTGTGGAGGATGGTTTATTCAAGATTATTTAACCTCAGTAGACGTTTTCAGTATCGGTGGCTGGAATTTTCTCGGGTGAGTTAGAGTTTTTATAACATTTACAATGATACTAGTGTTGACACTATTGGTTTCTATTATTGTTGCTTATATCTTTGCAAAACATGAAATGTTTTCCATGGTGGATAAATTTACTGAATAAAATGATTTCATTTAAGACTTCCTCTAAACCAATTAAAACATACATATTCTTGTATATGACACTAAGGAAAAATGTCTTTTAGATTATGTTAAGGAGTTTTTGAGACCTCCCCTTTAAAAACTGTAGTCTTATACAGAAACTTGAAAGATTAAAAGTTTTTGAGTTATGTTCCAGCGCTGTTACCTGTGCTATTCCTGCAGGCCAAACCTGTTTGCTCAAAATCTGAGCTTTTGAAAAAAACTACTGTTTATGCATGTGTGAATGTAGTTCTGGTAAAACAAAAGTCTAAGATTTCAGCTTTTTAAGCTTGCTCAAATCTCAAACCTCTCTCATACTCTAGTACCAGCTTTACATGAGCTCTAGCACATCCACATACCAGCAGTTTCCACAGAGAAGCTGACCAGGTGTCTTTCAGTTTTGAGTTGCAGAATCCCAAGAAGACGTTAGTCACTGCCCCAAACTATGAGAGCAGAGTTAATGATCTATAAAGTAATATGGGAATTTATGTAAAACACTTATATTTGATTAAGTGAACCCTGAATAGAAAGCCATCTTAATAATCCTGTGGGCAGTGTGAGGGCTCTTTAAGCAAACCAAGGATGAAATGGAAACTGGAAGGTGCATTGTCTTGTTTCCAAGCCACTTTAGTTTAGATGATGAACTTTTTGTTTGTCATTATGAAAATTAGGCACTTGGTGACATAGTGACAACAGGAGGCTGGCATGATGCTGCCTGTGATGTGGTACAGGAGGTGTGGGTGCTCTGTCCTTCCTGGTGAGGCATGCAGGTGGCTAATTGAAGCACTCATAATGTCTGAGTTGATCATATACCTAAAAACAAACTCCAATAACTCAATGGAAACTACACAGGAAAAGCAGCTTCTTATACCTCTGATATCATATTCAAATCAGCCTTGTTAAAGATGCCATTTTCTTCATGTAAAAATGTGAGAAACTGGCAGTCAGAACCACAGTGACAAGTTTGTAAGTGTGTCCCCTCCTGAGACATTCTTTGCTAGCCAGGTAAAATAGATTAATGCTGGCCATCATCCAGTCTGCGGCATAACACTGAGTTATATTGAATTATATTTTGGCCAGAAAAATTCCTGGAAGGAAGCTTTAAGCTTTGGATACAGTGCATTTTGATATGGTAACTAGCTGCTGTCACTTCTCCAAGTACTTTCTCCAGAAGCTTAGGGAGAAATCTAATTCAAGTTGATTCAATACTTATTAACAATGTCATCAAGGATTTCATGTAAGTGGTTGTGAAAAGTTAAGAGCAGCACAGTAAGAGCAGTGAGTCAGCAGCTCATTCCCATTACCTGCCCTTGGGACCCAAACATGGAGAGTTAGTTGAGTGCAGTAAACTGCAATAGCTAATAGTTAATAGCTAAAGTTAAGTGTAGTAAACAGCTCAGGGGAACAGACTTCACAGATCAGCAGAAAGGACGTGAGAAATGGAGTCCGAGGCAAAGGCTTTGTCGAGCAGATTTTTCCAGTCAGAAGCTGGAGGACTAAAGGCACACATGTCCTCTGGGATCATAAAAAGGACCCGCTAACCTGTTGCCAAGTAAGTGAAGAAAACCTTGAATGACTGCTAAAAATACATGACCATGAGATGAATCAGTGACCCTTAAAGCAAAGGATGTCTTTTATTTATTCATTCATTAATTCAGTCATCCTCACCCATTGATTATCAGCAGCTCCTCTGCAGTGGCACTTTGAGTCCTAGCAAATGTGCAGTGGCACCTGGGGAAGAGATCAGTCAACTGTGTTGTGGAGCTCTGAATTGACTGGGGGGGCTTGAAGCCTGGTATTTATAGTCACTGTTACTACCTGGAGTACTGTGTTTTAGAGTGGTACATTAATATTAGGAGGACCATTTTGAGGGAGTTCTAGTTGGCTGTTGTAACATCAATATCAATAAACCAGCTGTGAGATATAATCTATTCCTCTCAGCTCTATTTTTATTGGTCTCACAGCCTGTGCTGCCTTTCTGTCCTCCTTTAAGTCAAGCCTCCCTCAAAATAATGATAATTATTATGTTGTAATAATAATATGTCACAGTCTAAAAACCAGCTCTGTTTCCTGACTTTTTCTGCGGCTTATATGTAGTCAGAGCTTTTGGAAGGAATTTGAAGCTCTGATGACTAATGCCATGACTCCCCTTCTTCCGCTGCATCAGGAAAAAGCTCCATTCTGGTTTTTCTTGGACTCTGGAGAGAAATTTCTTTTTTTTTTTTTTGAGTGCTGTCTTATATATGAGAGTTGAAGAATTTGAAAAAGGAGTTTGTTTTCAAATTTGGCTCTGTTTAGGAAACTATTACTTTATTATGTATTTGTTTGCCTAATGTGGTTTTCTTATAGAAGCAGTGTTCTCTCTGTCATTGAAAATCTATTAGTGAACATACAGTATTAATAAAAAGCATTTGAAAATGCAATTCACTGGTGTATTTAAGTATGAGTCATTGATTAAGCTTAATTACAGACAATATGATGGAGAAAATCAATCTTTGAACTACCAAAATATCTGACCTTCAATAGCTGAGAGTTAAGCTACTCTGGAATTTTCCAATGAAATCTTTTCTTATTGGAAAAAAACAATTCCAAACCCTTCAGTTTTGCTAGAAATTTAATCTTGTGCTCAAAGGAGGAGAAGACTGGGGAAAAGAAGAGGCTCAGAAACTTCTAGATCAGTGCTTAAGAGCCTTGTATAATCTTTGAGAGCCCAAAATCCTATACAGCTTTACCTGGTCTGGTGTTGACTGTATTCTGCTTTTATACAGCTGACAGGTATTAACTACCAGACTGGGATTTTGCTCGTTCTCTTTGGAAAAGCATAGGAAGTCTCTTTAAGTGTAAAGGAAACTCTTTGAGTTTAAGAAAGAAAAGTTTCTTAAATCAGCACTACTATTGTTTATGTGGACCCATTTCATATTTTGCTGTGCATACTTTTTCTTTAAATTGAGAATACATAATGTTAACTGGGTAAGCATCCACAGTAATAGCATTCTACCTGTGGGAAACAGAAATCAAGTCAGCAATGTGCCTGGGCTCTATTTTGCCTTGTTCATAGGTGCACTGACCATTCTTGACTCTTTTGAAGCCCATGTATGGTGGTGCAGGGACATCATCAGAGCCTGTGTCATGGTTTGAGCCTGGTCGGCAGCCAACCACCACGCAGCCACTCTCTTTCCCTTCTCTTCCGACAATAAGAAGGGACAGAGAGCCAGGCTTGGGGTTCGAGATAGGACTGGGATGGGGAAAAAATCACCCTTTATGGGCATGAACAAAAGACAGACTCGTTAGGGGAAGAAAAAAATAACATACATTTATTACAGACACTAACAACACGTAACAGAGTAGGACAGTGAGAAACATTGCCACATCTTGAGAACACCTTCCTCCCACCCCTCCCTTCTTCCCGGGCTCAGCTCTGCTCCCGATATCTCTACCTCCTCCCCCAGTGGAGCAGGGGCAGGGAATGGGGGGTGCAGTCAGTGCTGCCATTTTCTCTGTCTTCAGTGGAGGGAGCTTCTGGAACTTGTTCCCCCTGCTCCATTGTGGTCCCCCTCTCACAGGAGACAGTCCTCCACAAACTTTCTCCAACATGAGTTCCTCCCACAGGCCGCAGTGTTCCCCACACTGCTCCTTCGTAGGTCACTAACTTTCTCTGACTGGAGTCCCTCCCACGGCTGCAGCCCTTTCCGAGCTGCTCCGGCGTTGGACACCCCCACATGCTGCAATCCTCCCAGCACTGAATTACAGCAGCAAGGCTACCTTTTCCCACAAGACCCCAGCCTTCTTTGGGCACAGCACCTTGATCATCCAGGTGGAAGCCACAGGCCATAAATCAATGTCTGCTCCACTGTAGATCTTCATGGGTGGCAGGGGGGGGCCGCCCTGCCATCTCACCACAGGATACAGGGCGGTCTCTTCTCCGGCACACCTCCCCCCTCCTTTCTTCCTCCATTCCTCCACTGACCTTGGTGTTCACGCAGCTGCAGCAATTCCTCCTCACAAGTCCCACTGCCCGTCACCACGTCTCTTCTTAAATACGTTATTGCAGAGGCGCAGCTGATTGGCTCAGTTTTCAAACAGAAGTGGAGCTGACTTGGAGCTGGGGGAGCTTTGAGAAGCTTCTCACAGCGGGCTGTCCCTATAGCCCCCTCCCCTGCTACCAAAAAAACCCCTCCACCATTCACTCAACCCAGGACAGCCTGGAAGTGTCTATTTAACTATCATTCCTTTAGTAAAATATGCAAGCTGTTCTACCAACATCTTTCTACCATAATGTGGAGTGAAATTTTTGGGGGACAAACACATCTTCAATGTTATTGATGATTCAACCCTTTTTTCTCCTGAAAATATTCTGTTTGGGAAAAGGACTGAAAGCAACAGCTTGTAATAAGAATAACCAGGCAGGAAAATGGCAAAAAGGTGTGGACACATACCTACCAATGTTAGCCATCATTAGTTAGCACAGATAAGTTAATGTCAGTGGAAGGCTCTGTAGGAGGTGTTTCATAAGGACTGACCTAATTTTCATGAGGATGATCTCCCTAGGCTTCTCACCTAGTCACTGGAGAGAGAGAAACTTTTTGGGGAGATATATCAGAACAGGGATTTTCTGGGGGAAAGTGTCTCTCCACTTAACACAGAAAGACTATCAAGATTAGTCTAAAATTGCCACTTTGGAATGGCTTCCCATAACTAGCCTTCTAAGCCTAGTCTACGTCATTACCGTTGTACTGTTTCTTAGTTTAAAATCTTATAGGTATTTTGTGGAGTTCGAAAGATTTTTCATAGCACTTGATGAAAATAAAAATAACGGTAAAATACCATAACTGTTTCCTTTTACTAGCTATTTGACAAATATGCTTTAGACTATACTGTATGTGGATGAAGACTTGTTCTTAAAAAGTATGATGTTATGACCTACTACATGGACCTGCCAACAGGTGATCCATGGAACCACAACTTTGCTGCCTCAGTGGGATAAATGCGTGGACCTTGTTGAAAATGCACTCCCTTATGTTGTGGGTAAGATGTTTGTGAATGCCCATTTTCAAGAAGACAAGAAAGAGATGGTGAGTCCTCTGAGATCTCTGTCTAGAAACTTAGTGGCTTCCTCATCACAAATTGCCTCTGATGTCACACCAAAGTTTAAAAAGACACAAGATTCTTAAAAATGTTTAAATGAATTAAAAAAAAAAAAAAAAAGCAAGGAGAAAATGGAACAAATTTGAAGAAATGTCACCTTTCTGTCCATCTGGGTACTGCTCATTCCTTCCATCTGCAGCCCTTCATACAAATATGTAGCTAGATCAAAAACAGGCTGAACACTGTTAATTTGTGTATAATAATACTGACAGCAAGGCGGTGCAAGAACAGAGAGAGGGGTATTGATGAGAAATGGTTTAGTATAGCTAGTGTAACTCATTATAGTAAAGTTTTTACTGACTAGTTGAAAGTCTGGTCAAGATTTCCCTGCTTCAGGATGACCCTTTTATAGTTGACTGTGCTACACCTGTAGTCTAAGCGAGAAAAGTATAACTGATGTCTGGCCCAAATTAAGGGAAGCTTAGAGCAATATAGTGAGACTTTATATTTGTGATTCAAATCTTTTTTGCTCAATGGTGAAGGTAAGTACTCTTCCACACCGCTGAATCGCTTTTAGCTGGATGTTCATCCTCATTCTAAAATTTCAAACATAGCTACATTATAACTCCTCTTAATAACATATTCAAATGATTAATTACCCTTCACAATAATTTATGACTTAATTTCAGTTCATATTTTTCTCATAAAGTTTTCCAGCATCTGTATTTCCATCCACTGATTTTCCAACAATAATCAGTTTAAAATTAACTAATGGAGTCATTGAACTCAGATCTCTGTGCAGGAGAGGCACAACCGTTCAGGAAACATGTGAAATAGCATCCTGCACTGGGAGTGACAGCTCTGTGATAGTCCTGCACTGCCTTGGCTCCGCAGCCTGAGTTTCTCTGTTTGACTTTATACAGTTTGACTGTTTTCTCAGGGAAGAACTCAATTTTAGACAGACCAACACTCTGATTTGTCTTGTTGAAATCTTTATGACATGTGTTTCCCTCTTAGGATCTGCATTTCTTTTTCTACCTGCCTTTGGCTGGAGCTTCCATTCTGAGACCCAGCTTTTCAGACCCCTACTTCTCAACTGAGTTTGTAATGTGCTATTTGGCAGTCTAGTGGCAAAAATATTCCAGGCGTACACAGTATGACCTCTACACAGAATACGTGGAAAGAGAAGGACTATAAGAAACATACACTTTATGGAGGGGACAGATTCTTTTTCATGTTTGTATATGTGAGGGAAAATTATAAGAAGGTGATAGAGAATAGTTTTCTGTTGAAATGTGACCTAGTTAAAATATTTCTAAGCATGTACATTCCTTTCATACCAAATCTGTGAAAAATTATCAAGTCTGAATTCACAGTAGCATCCATAGTAAGAAATGCATATAAAATTCATAGCGTAGATCAGAAGATTCAGACTTATAGTGAACTGCCCATGGAGATAAAATTAAATACAGGTGAAATTTGTTGCAATCCATTTAGAAGCCTTTCAACTTAATCATTTGTGGTGTTATCATTTTAATTTCACTGGTTTTCAGTACTATTTCTCTTTTTTCAGCAGTAAGAAAGCACTTGAGAAAAGTACTCTTATTTGTTCAGATTTTTTTTTTTTCCCTGTCTCATGGTATATATCAGTCTATGATAAGCAAATCCTGAGTTATGGATAATATGGATTCTTTTCCCCCCCATGTTTTTTCACTGATGTTTCATACCTTAGATACTTCTCTCCTTTTACCAAGAAAGACATTATTTGTGTCTAAATATAGCACTGTTTCTAACCCAGAGTGCCTGCAGTGTTTCTTACAGCTATGCCTGAGCAGTTTCAGTAATAACTTTGATAGCAGGAATAGGTTTCTCCCCCTGCCCCCTGCAGCTACAGCTGGTGCATAAAGCCTAAGTATACACCAGGGCCCAGCTGCAGAGCTTGAGTTTGAACTTGTAACCTCCAAATACAGGGAGTTCACCTCATTAGTGCACTAAGTTAATTGAGTCAGTGCTCTGTCATCAATATCTTTAAGTTATCCTATTCCCTGGGATGCAGTTTATGGTGAATGTTGACTGTTTAGTCATATTTAATGCTAGATCTGTTCCAGTTGTCCCATATTGTCTCTAAAAATAAGATAATATTTTTTTTAAACGGGTAGGAAAAATTAATAATCAAAGGACCTTTGCTATATTTTGTATGGCTCCACCACAATTCAAGAACAGCTCCAGATTAGAATATACATCTGATATATAAATGAAAATTTAGCTAAAGGTAGTATTACTTTCCAGGTTTTAGTCCCCACTTCTAATGACATTTCAGAGCTACTAGATCTATAGAATAAAATTATATAAATCTCTGGTACTTGGCATTTTAATTATTTTAAATGTAACATAACTGATAACACAAAGATCCAATAAGTCTTCATGTAATGATTATCTGTCATGTCTTGTGCTATCTCAACTCTGGTTTGGTCTGTGCTAAAGGACTCAAGCAATGACTGGATCCCCTGAATTGCCACACTCCCACAGTATTCTTGGTGGCTACATGTCATAAAGTTCATCTATTGATATAAATAGGAGCAGCTGATTGCGTACACCTTTCTGGTCTGTGCTGCCAGATGGATGCATAGGCATGAGGGCATTTCGGCTCTTTTGACTGATATAATGCACTCCGTAGCCATTCTTGTTTTCTGTCATTTCAGGGTTTTCTTAGTGTGCATACTCACTAAACACTCCCATAACTATTTTTTTTTTTTACTTGTTTGTGATATGCTCATGGCTTTGTATAGGTGTCTGAAGAAGCAGCCAAGCGTAAATGGTTGTGGGTTTTCCTAGCATTGCAGAGATGCAAGCTGTTACTGGTGGTTCAAGACCACAGAAGCAGTTGTTGCTCAGTGTTGTGAGCCATGGCCTCTATCCCTGCAGTAAGTAAGGGGTAGGAATACTTCACAAATACAGTTAAATACAGGCTAAGTATTTGGATAGTGCTTTGTATTTGGATCATGATACTGTCAGCCCAAATTCAGTCCTTCGGAAGTATTAATAAGGTGTGTCTCACTGACATAAACCAAACAAGGCTACAGATGTTGTCTCTGCAGAAAAGTATTTCTGCAAATACCTTGCAGCTGGCTCCTTCTTCTGCGTAGGCTAATGATCTAGAACCAAAGTGTCAGAAATCTCCCCAAGTCACTGCAAATCTCCTAGTATTTTTTATGGTTTCAAAACAGATATTCTCATGATTGTGACATAAAAGGGTCAGCAATGAACAGGTTATGTGGTACACCTGAAGGAAAAGAGAATTGGAAGAAACTTATTTCCAGAAGAAATGTTTGAGGACTAGAGAAAGAAATTATCCTTCAAGAAAAAACAGATACTGTCTGATTTGGAATCATGCATGGTCTAACCAAATCCATCACTCCTGCATGCACCAAACCTTTTCTCATAATGATTCTGCCATGGCATATTTTACTGGGGAAGGGTTTGCTAAATGTTTTGCAGATGGAAGAGCTGACTGAAGGAATTCGCTGGGCTTTTATTGACATGTTGGAAAAGGAAAATGACTGGATGGACTCTGAAACGAAAAGAAAAGCTTATGAGAAGGTATCAAATATAAATGTTGAATGGGTAAAATCCTGTTACAGTGAAGATGTGTCTTGAGTGAGAACAGAATGTCATGGACTGTACTTTCAGTTCCAGATACTTATCCATTGTTTTGTTTGTGAAGGGACATGTGCCACATTTGTTTTGCTAGAAGCTGAGATGTTTGAGCTTCTGCTTCTCTGCTGAAGTTATTTTTGTTACCTTGTTCTTTCTCCCTTGCCTCCATCTTTCCCTGTCTGCCCCTGTGTGACGTAGACTGTGAGCTTATTTCAGTTTTTCCTGTACAGTGGCTTTTCTTGACACGGTCTTCATCTTGATTGAGATGTCAGGGGCACACCAACCTACAAACGGAAAATGGTGTCTAAAATATCTTAGAAAACTGAGGGCATTTGGTGTAAAGATGGAGGATCCAGCCTAGAAGGGGTTATGAGAACAGTCCAGGTCTTGTACCTTCTATAATATCATAGCGGAAGAACTACCTTGAAAGCTGTCTTCCAGGAGTGCAACAACCATCCCAGCATTTCCCATTAGAATAATGCCAGTTATGAAGTGTTATGATCAAGGATGGCATTACTGGTCCTGATTACTTTCAGATGGAGTGACGATAAAATGCAGGAGGTAAAGGTGAAGTCAGAAGAAGGTACTCAGAGCTCCCTTTTCACTCTACTCCCATGTTTACAACATGTGACAGGTAGAAAGGGAGCTTGTCCAACTGCCGAGCTCTACTCCCAGAGCAGCAGTTGGAAGAGACATAAAGAAGAGTGGAAGGCAATATGTAGGGCTGTCTCCTTATTTGTTGATGCAATAGGCTATCAATGAGCTAGTAAATATCCTGTTTGAATAAACTGACATGCAAGTACAGCTGAACTGCTCCTGCTCCCTGTGCTTGAATAAAAATAGCAGTGTTTTGATTTAAAAATAAACATGGACTTCAAAGTATTTTGGTAATTCTGATGAAACGACTGTTGAGATATTTTATCATTGGAAATTTTTAAATTGCATATACACCTCATTTGCATTTTATACAGCCGTGCTCTTTACAGAAGTGCAAATGAAATAGAGCTGCATAAATGCACCAATAAACTCTATAGCAAGAGTACAATAGTAAGATGCCATATATTTCCTGCTAACCTGATGGTAAATGTACTGCAGTTATTACTTCTTACTGTCTGTTATGCTTGGGTTTTTTACTAGAAATGTCCTTAGAAATATAATGATCTGTAATGTAGATACTTGACAAATTTGGTACAAAATGAAGGCAGGAAGATTTTCTAATTATTTCCTTAACAGAGATATTTCTATATACCTTTACAGGCATATGCAAGTCTGATGTTGATTTTTCTAGCAAACTGCTTAACCATTTTGTTCAAAATTTGCTACCTGCCTTTCAGTAGAGAAACAATATAAGCATTTCTGCAAACTAATCAACTCCCTAAAAAGCTCTCCCTTTCCCAATTTAGGATGAGTTTTGTTCATAAGGTAGGTTAAATCTTTTGTAGGTAGGGATGCTTTTTTCTCTCTCTTGACACATTTAGGAAGCTTATGTCACTTTGCTCTCAATTTAGGCATCTCATTTAAGTTTCTGGAGTTAATGGGGTGGGTCTGGCCTGAACAACGCATGACAAACTAAATTCAAGCATTAGAATAAAAATAATACTATAAGCCATAGTATTACAAATAGCAAATGGTTCAAATCCATTCTCATTGACTTGAGCAACAATATTTTAGTTTACTGACACTTGTAAGACAAGTGTTATGTAATAACTTAGAAATTGCAGCAACAATTATGTGGTAGGACTTTTGACTGTAAGTTTAAGTTTAGATTCACAGAAACAGCTACTTGGCTAGAAGGAAAGAGTCTAGAGAGACAGACATGTAGTTTGTGCATGTTTACTAAATACTATTTATTACTAATAATAGATATTGAATTTGTCCTGGGACATTTGGATGGGCATGTTTTTAATTCAAGAAATAGATTCATTACATGTATGGTCAGATGATTCACTGGGGAAATCTAAGATTTATAATACAACAGAACCTTCAAAATCTGTTATTCTGTTCCAATTAAATCTCATGAGCCTAGCACATTATGCTGTCAGTTTTTCAATACTTACACTTTAATAAAGCAGCACAGACAACGGAAATTTGGGAGTAGGGATTGTTTGGTTGTTTATAAAAAAACCCCAGTATTAAATTCTTATATAGAACTCTAGAAGTGACATTTCTTCATCAATAAGTGATCACATCTGTGAGAATGGTGCAAGTGCCATGGATTTCACAATTTAGGAAGGAGTTCAGTTTGGTCTTGAATTGAAGAGCAAGTTGTATCGTCCTGGGGGTCTTCTCAAGTTAACTCTTCATTTTGAACCACTATCAAAATGGAGACTAGTGTTATGGCAGAGCAGAGTGGGATGCCTCTTTCAGACAAAGGCCAGAAAGGACCCTCTGCTTTGATCTTCTGTAAAGCCAAACTGTAATATTTTAGCCAATTATTGCTGGGCTGAGCCCAGTAACACATCAGACAACTGTTCTAGTTCTCTGTGGTTACTAACAACTCCATGGAATTTTTTATTAGGATAGGATATTCTGCTTGGAAACAAATTTCAGTCCTGTGTGAGCATCTTCTGCTTGTTTCAATTTCCAGAACAAAAGATGGTGTGCTTCATTATTAATCTGATATCCTTCTACGATGAGGTCACCTGCCTAGTGGATGAAGGGAAGACCGTGGATGTAGTTTTTGTGGATTTTAGTAAGTCTTTTGATACTGTCCCTCACAGCATCCTTCCAGATAAATTGTCCAATGGTGGGATGAGTGGGTTTACGGTGCCCTGAGTGAAGAACTGGCTGAAAGGCAGGGCTCAAAATGTTGTAGTGAATGGGGCTGCATCTGTCTGGTGACTGGTCACCAGCAGTGTTCCTCAGGCTTCAATTATAGGATCAGTTCTGTTCAATATATTTATCAATGATCTGGATGCAGGAGTTGAATGCACCATTAGCAAGTTTGCTGATGATACCAAACTGGGAGGTGTTGTTGACTCTCCTGAGGGACAAGAGGCCTTGCAGAGTGATCAAGATAGATTGGAGCATTGGGCAATGATTGATGGGATGAAATTTAACAAGTCCACATTCCGGATTCTACACCTAGGACGGAGTAACTCCAGGCACGAGTATAAATTGGGAGAGGAGTGGCTGGAAAGCAGCCCAGCAGAAAGGGATCTGGGAGTGCTGGGCACCAGCAGGGTCAATGTGAGCCAGCAGTGTGTGCCCTGGCAGCCCAGGGGGTAAACCACACCCTGGGGTGCATCTAACATGGCATAACCAGCGGCCAAAAGAGGTGATTGTCCCGCTGTATTCGGTGTTGGTGCAGCCTCACCTTGAGTGCTGTGTGCAGTTCTGGGCCCCACCATTTAAGAAGGATGTGAAGGTCCTTGAATGTGTCCAGAGGAGGGCAACAAATCTGGTGCAAGAGCTGGAAGGCATGTCCTGTGAGAAGCAGCTAGGGACTTTGGGTTTGTCTACTTTGGAGAAAAGGAGACTGCGGGGTGACCTCATTGCTCCCTATAGCTCCCTGAGGAGGGGATGTGGAGGGGCAGGTGCTGAGCTCTTCTCCCTGGGATCCAGTGACAGAATGTGTGGGAATGGTTCAAATCTGCATCAGTCACGGGAGCTTTAGACTGGACATTAGGAAATGTTGCTTTACTGAGTGGGTGGTCAAACCTGCAACAGGCTTCCTAGAGAGGTGGTCAATGTTCCAAGCCTGTTAGTGATTAATAGGAATTTGGACAATGCCCTTAATAACATGCTTTAACTTTTAGTCAGCCCTGAAGTGGTCAGGAAGTTGGACTAGATGATTGTTGTAGGTCACTTCCAACTGAAATATTCTCTTTTCCTCCCTTCTCCATTCTCCTCCTCTCTTCTCTTTTCTCTTCTCTTCTCTTCTCTTCTCTTCTCTTCTCTTCTCTTCTCTTCTCTTCTCTTCTCTTCTCTTCTCTTCTCTTCTCTTCTCTTCTCTTCTCTTCTCTTCTCTTCTCTTCTCTTCTCTTCTCTTCTCTTCTCTTCTCTTCTCTTCTCTTCTCTTCTCTTCTCTTCTCTTCTCTTCTCTTCTCTTCTCTTCTCTTCTCTTCTCTTCTCTTCTCTTCTCTTCTCTTCTCTTCTCTTCTCTTCTCTTCTCTTCTCTTCTCTTCTCTTCTCTTCTCTTCTCTTCTCTTCTCTTCTCTTCTCTTCTCTTCTCTTCTCTTCTCTTCTCTTCTCTTCTCTCTTCTTATTATCAATTAAGTAAAGAAAGGAAGTTATTAAGTAAAGAATATCCTGGTCTTTTGTGTTTTCATCAACTGTTGTCACACTGTCCCTTATAGTAATGCAGAGTAGAGCTCCTGCCTGAAGTTCTATGGCAGAACTGTATGCTGCATGGCAATGACTGTGATTCATATATTTTGCTCTTCCTCTGTATTTTTAATCTCATTGCATTCTTGAATTCTTAGAATGCTCTGGAAAGAAAGGAACTGTAGAAACCTGGTGGGTTTTGTTTACTGGGCCTGCTCCATGTGTTATATTTGATATGTCATTAGCCTTTTCTTTAACTTAAGGCATATTTGGTTAATTAATAAAATTTTTACTCATTTCCTGAAAGAAGAATAAGGTTGGTGTGGGATTTGGATTTCTGGACTGTGAGCATGAAGACCCTTCCTAGGAAAACATCTCATCTTAGACTTCTGTTCCTTATGGTGACTGTATCTTTAGATGACAACACTGCAATGCAAATGACTTGGCAGGCTGTAAAGAGAACTAACTGCAAGCCCTTTCTGTGTTTTGGATGTTCACTGTTTTGCATGTTTTCTGCTGCCTGTTTTCTGACTGATACCCACCTGTCTTGTGCACTTGGCTGAGCCCAGACTTGTATGCCTTGCTGTCAGCCTGATGCTTTTTAATCAAAGGGACCGTTGACCTCTGAAGGACTTACAAAAGGCCCTCTGGTAGAATCGATGCTTGAATTTTGCTTT